TCCAACTAAACAAAAGACAGGCATATGAGTTGAACATTTACCTCAAGTAGAACATTTACCTCAAGTAGATACACTCCTTGGAGAGAACAATCATTGAGAAAGAAGGGCTGCTTATGCACAGGGAGACAGCTCAGGGGGCAGGAGTGCATGGAGGGATGGACACAGGGCAAAAGTAATTATGGGGAGGAAGTGGGAGGGGAGCTGTTGCATTGTGGTAAACTGTGGTCAATGTCATGAGACAAAGTATATGTGGACCGCTGTATGGAAAGTAAATTTGCTCTGTAAACCTTCACCCAAATCACAATTAAAAAAAAAAAATTAAAAGGGTTTATAAAACAGTTTAGTAATGGTTGCCAGAAGTTAGGGTGTGGGAGAGGGGATGGGTGTGAGACTATGAAAAGATAGCAGGAGGGAGATCTTGTGGGTGGAGTGGTTCTGTATCTTGGCTGCAGTGATAGTCACCTGAATCTGCACATGATAAAATGGTATAGGTCTGTGCACAGCCTTATACCAATATCAGAAGTCCTGGTTTTGATGTTGTATTATAGTATAATTATAGAGACTGGAATCACTGCAGGAAACTGGGTGAATTGAATGCACACAACCTGGCCATACTATATTTGGAATTCCCAATGAATCTGTAATTATTTCAAAATAAAAAAGTTTTTAAAAAAAAAGTTCACAAAATCCTATGAAATAATGTACTAACATAAAAAGTTTTGGGGGTGTTTGGCTTTAGTTTGGGGTTTCTTTCTCATTGTGTAAAGTGTTATTTTTTTCACTTTAAAGTTTGTTGAATATATTTATTTTCTTTATATTATAGAACCAAAAGTACTATCAGTTTTGCTGTGGATTTTCCACCCACTGGATATTTCTTTACTTTTTTTAGTACATGCCAAGAGTTGTGACATCTGCACAACAGAAAGCTGGAAGAACAATTACAGCCCGAGTCACGGGGAGATGTGATTTTGCTTCAAAAAATAGAATTAGTAGCGGTTTAGCTATCATGGGAGTTTCTCCTCCCATGAGCTCAGTTGTTGTGGAAAAGCATCATCCGGTCACAATGGTGAGTCCACATTTGATGACCTTTTGTCAAAAATGTTTTTTCCTGAGAGTTTGTAGACTAAAAAACACTTAAAAGACATGTTGGGGAGGGGGATCAAAATTCATGATTACTGGTACTTGTTTTGCTTTTTACTATTGTAGCTTTTATATGTTTATGATCATCAAACCTGCTCTAAATCTACCTTTCCTTTGCAGGAAATTAATCTTGGAAACATTACTTCTTCCAAATAATGTAAAAATTATCAAATATAAAAAGTAACCCAGTGTGTCAGAGGCCATATGGGCAAAATATATAAATGATTTCTCACTAATTTGAAAAAGAGACAAAAAATGTTTGTGTAGCAGGTGTTTGAATACAAAAAAACACTTGCCTGCTTTTTGAGTTTTTAATTCTACCCTTTTTTTTCCCCTCCTAAGTCTTCTCCTTTTCTTAAAACAATCATCAGTGTATTTCTAGGTTCTTGGGTTTTTTGTTAAATTTTTATTGTGATTTCGGTGAAAGTTTACAGAGCAAATCCATACAGCAGTTCATACACATTTTGTTTCATAACATTGACTGCCATCCCCACAAGGTAACAGCTTTCTCCCCACTTCCTTCCTGTAGTTACCTCTTGCCTGTGTCCTTCTTTTCTATGCATTCCTGCCCCCTAAGCTACCTCCCTGTACAAATACTGCCCTTCCTTCCTCCCACGATTGATCATTCTAAGAAGTATATCTGCCTAGTAATGTTCACCCTATATGCCTGTCAATGTTTGGCTGGAAGCTATGGGAGTAAGTTCAGTTCCAGGCTTGAAGGGTAACTAGGGGCCATAGTCTCGGGGATCTTACCAGGCACTATAACACCAGTAAACCTGGTCTTTCAGTATATTTCTAGTTTTGTTTGTTTTTTTTTAAATGTTGGCAGTAAGTTCTTGTGATGTAAAGGAAGCTGCATGGAATTTGAAGCAAAAATGAAAAAGCCTGAGTTAGTGTCCCAACTTTGCTACTTACTGCCTTTGTGATTATACACAGATCAAGTAAAATATTTGAGCCTCCATTTTCTCTTCTGTAATGGGAGTGATAAAGAGAGGGTTGTTGTCAGGATTCAGAATTAAATGAGATAATGTGAAAATTAAGTGAGATATGTAAAGGCGCTTTGTAAATTGTAAAACCATAAGCTAATTTAACTTACTAGAAGTTAGTAGAGAAAGTACGTGGGATCTCTTTATATTGTTTTTTACAACTGCATTTGAATGAACAACTCAAAGTTTAACTTAAAAAAAAGTTATTAGAGCAAATTCCTAAGAGAAACTGATTGATTTTTAAATGGAATGCCTTGTATACAAATCCTCAAGGTTAGACAGTGTTCCTGTGTACTTACTATGTCAAGGTATTAACAAAAAAGGTATATGGATGATTTTGAATCTTTTTCTTCACTGCCATCAAGTCAGATCCTACTCACAGAAACTCCTCCTTGGGTTTCCGAGGCGTTATCTCTACGGAAGTAGATTGCCCAATCTTTTCGAGGAGTGGCTGGTGGTTCAAATCCACTGGTAGCAGTCAAATGCCTTAGGCACTACGCCACCAGAGTTCCTTGGCCTGTGGTACTAGATGACTAAACCAAGAGAAGCCAGAATGGTACATATGACCGTAGTAAGGTAAAAGACCAGAGATGGAGGCACAAAGTCCGGTTAGAGGACATGGAGGCAACCCTGAATGTCCATAGATGATTTTTCTATACATTTTTGTATTCGTAGGATTAGTTATCAAAAGTGAGGAGAAGTAGATCCATTTGTCATCAGCACATATATATAAAAAGATAGAGACTGAGGTTAAGAAGGAATAAAGAGGGCACATGTGTATTGTTTATTTTTAATTTACATAGTCTTTTGGTTTTGTACAATGATAGGAGTTTATATTTTACAGAAGGAAAATCAAGGAACTGAAAACCTGAGAGCGTTTTTAATATATTTATCTTGCAAACTGCCATTGCTTGTTCAGTATGTACTGTACTTCTGTAGAAATTGATATGTATTATATAGCCATAAACCGCATCCAGTATTACCTAATTTGGATTATGTAATGGATACAATGGCAGTCCTATGTCTTCTTTAAAATTTTTTCCAAGGAATGGAGGTCTAGACTACCATAAAATTGGTATCAATAAATCGAGAGTCTGATTGCAACACATTAGCACCATCTGCTGGACAACTGCTTGCTTCTAGCGTTACTTCATTCTCTGTGTTGAGTAGGAATTGACTCTATGGCAGTGGGTTTTTGGGGTTACTGCGATTGGTAACTTTAATCTCTTTCTACATTTCCTCTTACCTTTCCTTCCCAAGGAGAAATAGTTCTTTTGATAGAGTCAGATTTTTTGTTGTTGTTATGTGCCCTCGAGTTGTACCCGACTCATAGTGACCCCTGCTTGGGTTTCCGAGGCAGTTATTACCACAGAAGTAGATTGCCCAACCTTCCTTCTGAGGAGTGGCTGGTGGGTTTAAACTGCCAGCCTTCTGGTTACCATCAAGTGCCTTAGGTACTACCACTTGCAAGAGTATCATCTGTTTTGAACGGTTACCCAGTAGTTTATGTACAAAGAAACATTTGTACAGAATGCTTTAAGAAAGATTGTTTTTTCCATTTCTCCAAAGAGTTGTTCTGTTATTTTGAAAGTAGAATTTGACATAAAGGTTTCATTCATTATTTAAACAAAAGCTGTATCTTTGAGTTTTTGAAATATGTAGTGAATGTTTTGATCAAATATCTATGTTTTTACTTCAAGAGTTTTTAAGATTTTTCTGAGAGAAAGACCTTAATAGAAATCTGTATGTACTAGTCAGTGACATGGAATGAAAACTTCACTGATAACAAATTCCGCCGCTGCTGGCTACTAAGAAGCTGTATCAGGTATAATACAGGAAAGCCTTGTCCTTAGGAAGATACTGAAAAACTAAGTCAATTGTGCCCTGACTTTAATGCTTCATTGCTTATGTTCCAAGATGTTCTCCTGAGCTCAGAAGTAATGTATATATCCTTTCCTCAACATGTTCCCAGTATCTAATTATTTCCTCTTTAGAAAGTTGAAGTCCATATCAGAGGACCACCAACCTCTGGCAAGACTTCTTGTCTGACCATAGAGGATTCAGTCAGATTTCAGTAATTGATAATAGCTCGTCTGAGAAACCAGGTGAAATATGGGGCTTTGCTTTACTCTAGTTTAAGGACCAGACTAGATTCTCAGGACTTCCCCTTGTGCCTCAGAATTGGACTCCATGTATCAATAGTTATATACAGAGAGAAGGAAGGTGGATGGAATGAAGGGATAACTTGAGGCTGACCCTTCTTCCAAACACCACAGAGTCCTTTTCTATACTTAGCCTCTGTAAACATTATAAGATTCCACTCGATTCTTCTTTGAGGAATGGCTCCCATGACTCTCTTTATGGTCCTCTGAAATAGAGCTCTACTATGAAATTATGATTGTTGAACACATCAGTCTTAACTGAGTGTGGATTCCTTATGGAGAAAGATCATATCTTATTTGTTTGGATGGCTATTTCATCCAACTCACTGCTTGTGTCTTCTGAGTGCTAAACTAATGGTTGTTGGGATAAATTATAGATGAAGTCATAATTAATATATATAATTTTGTGAGATTATTAAAGTAAATTTGTATCTTTTTCAGCAAACCATTCCTCAAGCTACTGCAGCAAAATATCCCCGGGCCATTCCTCCTGAGAGTGGTACCTCGGCGTCCAGATCTCTGGGAACCAGATCAACTCACACCCAGTCTCTTACAAGTATACAGTCCATAAAAGTAGTTGACTAGTGGGAGTGTGTTTTTATTGAGGTCTTTTGATTCCTCTGCTTTTACCAAGAATTAGAAGTCTTTCGTTTTAAAATTTTCCATATTCTTAGGACATTATGGATACATCATGTTCATCTTTTCAAAATTACAAGAGATTTTTGTCAAGTTCTCCCATACTTTGTAACTATATGTAGAAATTATTTTAATGTTATTTTTTTTTATTTATGCAATTAAGTAAAACTTTTTAAATTAAAAGAGTAACCAGACTTAATGTTTTGTTTTGTTTTGTTTTGTTAATGTGTTCAGCCTGTCACTGATTATATCATCAAATGCATAAATCCCATTTTCTCTATATTACTTCCAAGGCTAAAAAAATCATTTTCAATGTTACCATGCAGTAATTTACATGAAATTTTGAGAGGAACATTTACTTTAAAAAAAATTATTAGAACTAATAAAAACGAAGGAATTTTCATTATAAATTAAAAAGATAAAGATCAAGAGAAATGAGTTTTCTTTGTGACTTTATTGTATTAGTCTTCATCTTCCCAGGGCTCTTAACAATTTAAAGTAGGAGGAAAATGGCAAAATTTATAACTACTTTTTAATATTAAAGGAGAAAATATCTTTTACTAATAGAACAAATACAGGGTTATAGAAACATCAAAAATGATCCTATTTCTGATCTTCTTTCTTGCCATATTCAAAACACTGCAGCACTGAACCTACCTACCTCTTCTCCTTGAACTTCCAGGCTTTGTCCTGTGGTGGTATAGCCCTAGGCAACACAGCAAAGCCTTCTGGCCTGGGTGGAAATTTTTCAATGGCTGGCCAGTATGAAGAAACTATCTGGGCAAAAGTGTGATTTAAGAGAATCAGATCTGGCTTCTAATGGTGTTACTGCTGGCTAACTGTTATCATGAACCAGACACTTAATATGAATGAATCTCAGGTTCCTAATATATGAAACAAGAATAAGTTGTCCCCTGTATGTTTTCCAAAGTACTTAGGAGTTATGTGTCAGCTGGTAGATTCTGAAGAATCTGTCTAGGGCCTCAATTTCTATATCTTTAATAGAAGTGGATGGATTTAATGATCTGAAGCCTTTTCTGATTTGAACATGATCTAGTCCTGTCCTCTTATAGGAAATACTTTTTCTTCCTGCCTCACATTCTTAACATCAGAATAAATGTGATGTAGGTAAATATAATCCTGTTTTCTACAACAACACACGAACGCTGTTTTCTGAATTACAGAATTACCTGGCCATGTCTTAGGAGTCCCTGGGTGGCATGAATGGCTAACTGCTCAACTATAACAAACACTTGGTGTTATATCCACCCAGAGGTACTTTGGAAGAAAGGCCTGGCAGTCTTCTTTCAAACAATCAGTCTTTGCAAACCCTGTAGAACACAGCTCTGTCCTGACTCACACGGGGTCACCCTGAGTCAGAGCTGACTTGGTGGCAGCTACTTTGGTGTTTGAAGTTTCATTTGGCAATCTTTTGAGGCGTATCAGATGCTTCTTAGTTAGCACTTGTTCTGGCCCAGTTACTGTTGTGGCAGACAACTCTGTGATCCACATGGGCTTCAGGAAGTTTTGAATGAGCACCAACAAATAGCACTTCATCTTGTTCCCCTTACTGTGGGCACGCTCCTCCACAGGGCTTCCCTATGTACTCAGAGTCATGAGAGACTGGCAGGCTCCATGAGGAGCCCACACATGACATCCTAGAATTAACATCCTCATTATGCTAAACCACTTCTTTCTTTCTCCCCTTTATTTGTACTCCCAAATTAGGCAGTTGCACATAAACTTTGGACTCAGACTGCATTTTTAGGGGAACCTAGACTATAACAAAGAGCGCTGGCAGCACAGTCATTAAAGTGCTCGGCTGCCAATCACAAGGTTGGCAGTTCAAACCCACTAGACACTCTGCTGTAAAGATTTACAATAAATAAAATATTTACAACCTTGGGAATCCTATAGCACAGTAGTTCTACTCTGTCCTAATGGATCAGTATGAGTTGGAATCAACTTGACAGAAAAGGGTAGGTTAACAACAAGGAGTTCCTGAGTAGCACAGATGATTAAGTGCTTGACTGCTACCCAAAAGGTTGGCGATTCAGACTTATCCAGGGGCACCTCAGTAGACAGGCCTGGTGACCTGCTTCCTAAAGGTCATAGCCTTGAAAACTATGAAGCGGTTCTACTCTGCATACATGGGGTCACCATGAATTAGAATCAACAGCAACAAACAACAGATTTCAACAATGAATGGCTTATGAACAAACTAGAGTGGGTATGATAAATATTCTAAGACATATTTTTAAGCTTTACCTGAATTCTAGAAGTACATTGTTTATAAAGCACCAAGTAATTAGTGTAGGCCTAAATTAATTCAGACTCAACAATTAGAGTATCTTACACAGTAAGAGGGGAGCTCTGGTAGCATAGTGCCTGAGGTACTTGACTGCTAACCAGAAGGCTGGTGGTTCAAACCCACCAGCCATTCCTCGGAAGGTTGGGCAATCTACTTCCATAGTGATACTGCCTCAGAAACCCAAGGAGGGGTCACTATGAGCCAGGTCCAACTTGACGGCACATAACAACAACAACAACATACACTAAGAGTATGGAGTCCCTGCGTTTATTTGTATTTGTGTATTTTTGCATAATAAGGTTACCTGGATTTGTTTTTGTTGAGAGGGTAGTGAGGTCAGTGTAAACAGCATATTGAGGAACAGATGGGAACAAGACTTCTCATTGAATGCCTTTTGAAAAAAATCTGTGAACCATGAACATACTGCCTGTTTTAAACATTCATAACATTAAGTGGGTCATTTACAATGAGCAAGAGGCAAAAATGTAAAACTGCAAATTCATGATAGTAACTGAACTAAAACTGTTCATGATTTTATTACTTTCCTCACAGATTTAGAGCCAAAATTTGAGAATGCAGAGCTTTAAACTATAAAAAATAGTTACACATAAACTAATACAAACTCTTACTTGATTTCAGATTTATTTCAAATTTTCTCAGTTTACAAAAGTAATGCATGTTCATGGTGAAAAAAATTGGAAAGTACAAAAAAATACAAAGAAAAGTCAAATCACCTGTAATTATATCACCAAGAGATAAATAACATATTGATGTATGAATTTCAGTCTTTTCTAAATAATACATTACACATACATATTATTTAATGCCAGCAGTGACTATAAATTCCCAAGCTCAGATTTTCTTATAAAAGAGAAATAATAACAGTTAATGATTTCCACACTAGGGGCTGAGGACAGGCATTTCACTGGATTCTCACTTCCTCCTCACTCCAACCCTGTGGAATAGGGGGACAGTTCCCTTCATTTTGTAGAGAAGGAAACCAAAGAGCTGAGAACTTTAATATTATTGTGCCCAAAGTTTTGCCACAGCTCATAAGTGGCAAAACTATTCAAAAGCATGTCTGTCCTAAAATCCTTAATTTTTCCATATGCTGCCCCCATCTCATTTTCAAAACCCTCCTAGATTATGCTCTTATGTTTGTTGCATCAAATGACAGAAATGAGAACATGATGTACAACTTGCCTTAATAAGCAAAACCAGAAAGGATAGTCAGCTTTTCAATTCAGTGGTTGGAAAGGATAAGGGAATTACTCTTTTTTCATCTGCTAGAAGATCCTGCATAGTTGAGAGGAAAATCAATACCACTTCTAGATCTTCATGGCATTAAAGAACTGCATGCTGAATGGAAAACCGTTTGAATACAATTTCTCTTTAGGCATTTATGAAACTGCACATTTCTTGGAGCTTGAGTCAGTTTTGCTTTTGAATTGATGGATCTTTTCTGGACATAAAAAAAATAGAATAACGCTTATTGTTAATAGGTAACATTCATTATATACTTAACTGTGTACCAGGCGCTACTGACTCATTTAATCCCACAACAGCCCTTTGCAGCAGACACCTGTATTTTCTTCCCTAGTTACTAAATAAGATTACTGGCACAGTGAGGTTCTATAACTTGCCCATGATCACAGAGCTGCTCAGTGTTGGACTTCAGACATGAACCCACACAGTCTTGCTCTGAATCACATACCCTTTACTACTTCAGTGGACTGCCTCTTAGACTTCCCTGAAAGCTTCTATGGGCACTCTTTTATAATAAAAAATAAATTCCAAGTTGAGGTGACAACCCCAGTGTTATGAGGATAGTGTCACAGAAGGTAAATATCATCCATGCGGGCTATTCCTTTCACATACTACTGCTTGAAACAATAGTGGATCAGTGATCTGATCCATGTATTCAGGTTACCAGCTTCAGGTAAAACTACACCAGTGAAAATAATGGCAGATAGCCCTACATTTTGCTTAATGGTTATTATTAAATGAGAGTTATAGCAGTGTCTAATTTATTGATAGGAGATCTAGTAGTGTAGAGCCTAAGGCACTTGACTGCTAACCAGAAGGTTGGTGGTTCAAACCCACCAGCCACTCCTTGGAAGGAAGCTTGGGCAATCTACTTTCGTCGTGATACTGCCTCAGAAACCCAAGGAGTGGTTGCTATGAGTCAGGTCTGACTTGACAGCACATAACAACAACAATTTATTGATATTTCAAAGCATCTTTCCCACTAATATAGTCTATTAGTAGAGTAGGTTTCAGCAATAGCCTCAGTTGGCAAAGTAAGAGCTAATCTGGCCTTTCCTCTCAAACTACAGATAACATATTTTCAAGAACTTGCAGAGTTTGGGGAAATATGGTGGTGTAGTGCCAATGGCATTTGACTGCTAACCAGAAGGCTGGTGGTTCAAACCCACCAGTCACTGGACAATCTACTTCCATAGAGATACTGCCTCAGAAATGCAAGGAGGGGTCACTGTGAGTCGGACTCCACGGCAGTGAGTTTGATGTTTTCTTTGGTTTTGCAGTTTCCCAACAGGGACATGATGGCATTTTGAGCAAGACAATTCTTACTTTTGGGGAACTTATCCTATAACCTTACAAGATGGTTTAGCATTCCTTGTCCCACCCATACATATAAGCAAAAATATTCTTCAAATGACTTATAGGGGAATAGCTCTGAGAAATGCCAGGCTACACTGTGACCAGTACTGACAAGGTCACTCACTAAGAACCTGCTTGCATCTTATAAACCCCTTCCATGACTTCAGATCCTGTATGAGCCAGAGTTAACACCAAGCTGGTACTACTGTTTGCTCAAAGTTGGTATTATTTCTGTTGACCATCCCCTGCCATTTTAAGGAAGAAGGAGTTGATAGCTGTTTGTTGAAAACTAACTTATCAGCTAGTTCTGGGAAACCTGCAAGTCTCAGCTCTTCATAGAAGTGCTTGACTGGATTGACCTGCGTCATCAGGATCCCATGCAGCCAGATGAGCAGAGCTCTGTGTCCTTGTTCACGGAAGCTTTCATTTCCTAGCCAAGCACAAAAGGTCAGAGGTAAGACAGCATGAGCTGATGTCCCTTTGTAACGATGGTCTTGATTCTAACTAAAATTTCTGTATAACTATGGTTGCAAAAACATTCAACTGTGTGGGTCATAGCAAATTATGGATAACATTCAGAAAAATGGGAATTCCAGAACACTTAATTGTGCTCATGAGGAATCTGTACATAAAGCAGAAGGCTGTCGTTTGAACAGAAAAAGGGGATACTGCATGGTTTAATATCAGGAAGGTAGTGTGTCGGGATTGTATCCTTTCACCATATTTAATTAAATCTGCATGCTGAGCAAATAATCTGACAAGCTGAACTATATGAAGAAGAACATGGCATCAGGATTGGAGGAAGGCTCATTAACAACCTGGGATATGCAGATGATACAACTTTGCTTGCTGAAAGTGAAGATGACTTGAAACACTTATTGATGAAGATAAAAGACTAATTACAGTCTGCAGTATGTTTTACACTTCAGCATAAAGAAAACAAAAATCCTCACAACTGGACCAATAAGCAGCATTGCGATAAATGGAGAAAAGATTGAAGTTGTCAAAGATTTCATATTACTTGGATCCACAATCAACACCAATGGAAGCAGTAGTCAAGAAATCAGTTGACATATTGCACTGGGCAAATGTGCTGCAAAAGACCTCTTTCAAGTGCTAAAGAGCAAAGATGTCTCATTAAGACTGAAGTGCACCTCATATGCATGCGAGAGCTGAACAATGAATAAGGAAGACTGAAGAAGAGTTGATGCTTTTAAGTTGTAGTGTTGGAGAATACTGAAAGTACCATAGACTCCCAGAAGGAATAAATCTGTCCTGGAAGAAGTGTAGCCAGAGTGCTCCCTGGAAGAAACAATGGCCAGACTTCATCGCACCTCTGGTCATGCTGTCAGAAGGAATCATTCCCTGGAGAAGAATATCATGTTTGGTGAAATGGAGGGTCAGAAAAAAGGGGAAGACCCTCAATGAGCTGGATTGACACAGTGGCTGCAACGATGGGCTCAGGTATAGCAGGGATTGTAAGGATGGTGCAGAACTGGGTAGTGTTTCGTTCTGTTGTACATGGGGTTGCTATGAGTCGTAGCCGAGTCAACTGCACCTAACAACAACATGGTTGCACATTCATTTCTCTTCTGATAGCTGTTAGATAAAAATGCCCAGTGGATGAAAGCCCTTCTAACTCACATCACTGGTGTTTCTTTAAAATGACTCACGTTTGGACTCACTACAGCCCTTACTGTGCACTTTCTCTGCTTTCCACAGACCCAAAGATTTAACAGGTACGTTCCTGCCCTGTGCTCATGTGCAATCTGAGTGAGATTTGGAGCTTTTCCATAGTGTTCAGGTAGCACTGCTATAGACTTATTGTTGTTGTTATGTGCCACGGAGTCGGACCCGACTCATAGCGACCCCTCCTTGGGTTTCCGAGGCAGTATCACTACGGAAGTAGATTGCCCAACCTTCCTTTCAAGGAGTGGCTGGTGGGTTTGAACCACCAGCCTTCTGGTTAGCAGTCAAGTGCCTTAGGCACTAAGCTAGTACTTTCTAAACTTTAAAGTGCACATTTCACCTAAGGATTTTGTTAAAATGCAGATTCTGATTTAGTAGGCCTGCGGTGGGGCCTGAGAATCTGCATATCTGACGAGCTCTCAGGTGATGCTGCTACTGCTGGTCTGTAAACCACACTGAGTAGCATGTTGTTGTTAGGTCTGCCATCCAGTTTCAAGGGAAATATGTTGATTGAAGTCTGCATTCCCCTTGTCAGGGTTATTCATTCAGTAAATCTAACTAGGTGTTGGTTCAGGGTTGGAATATGGAGGGGTTTGGGTTCTCAGGTGGTGCTGTAACAGAAATATCACAAGTGGATGGTTTAAATACAGGAATTTATTCTCTTTCAGTTCAGGAAGGTAGAAGTCTGAATTCAGAGTACTGGCTCTAGGAGCTGAGTGAAGACCCCACCACCTTGGGCTTTAGCTCAGCCTCTTCTTCCAGGCCCACTGGAAGCTTCTTGTAACTCAGGCAGCTGCTGGCTGCTAAGGCTGACAAAGCCAAGGTTGGCAAGTAGAATGGCACAATCCCAAGGTCAACAGGCACACAGGAGACCCCTGGATCAAGTCCAGGAAAAATCACAAGATCGGCAGGCAACATGGCAGGCCAAGATTTGGCCAAACACAGGGTCCAGTTGTGCCAAAAAGCTAGAGACTTTTCCCAAAGCTTCTCCTTACACACTGGAAACGGACCACACCCCAAAGGCAGCTCCCTTTCCACTGATTAATGTCTCACAGCAGATTCCACCATGGAGGTGATTGCAGTCCCGTCATGGGAAGTAACTACATCCAGCTGCCAAGCCACCCAGGACCACAGCCCAGCCAAGCAAGTTGGCACACAACCTTAACTACCACAGGAGGTTAGAAGCCATTGTCACTCCTGACAGGAGTTCACAAACAACAGGCCCAGGACTTTATCAAAGTGTATTCAGGAGCAGAGAGATGCCATGAAAAGGAGAACCTAAGCTGGAGTTGGGGGGGAGGGGGTGACTGCCTGCACAAAGGATGTTCTCCTAGGCAAATGTCTTATTCATAGCAAGGTCTCAAACCCCTGCTGAGAATTTCTATATCCCTCTAAGACAAACTGAATCAGAATCTACATTTTTACAAGATCCCCAGGTGACTCTTATGGTATACATAAGATTTACTTAGTGATCTATAAATATCACCAGGGGATCTTGTTAAACTGTAGACACTGATTCAATATGTGTGTGTGGGGGGGGGTACAAATTCTCAGCAGAGTCGACCCTGAATGAACCGGTTCGAAGCCCTGATTTCTAGTGCCTCCTAATCCTGCTTCTGCCAAACTAACTTTTCTTAAATACCATCATCAATATGTTACTCCTTTGCTCAAAAGCCTACAAACATCCTAGTGCCAGTGGCATTACCATGGATTACAATATAATTAGATCATAAATGTTATCACCCCAACTAGATTGTAAAGCCCTTCAAACATGCACCATGGCTTAGAGGGCTGATGTAGCCCTCATCTGGCAGACATAAGCACACACTATGCACTTGACAAATGTTGGACTGAAAATACACTATAGAGAGAATCATAATGTTCAGGATGCTTAGCAGCATCTTTGAGGAGGACCCATTCTTCTCGCGGGGCAAGATGGCGGACTAGGCAGAAGGATTGCACAGACCCTCTTCAACAAAGGAAAGGGAAACCAATTAACACAGATACAGAAGATAATCTTGGACCACTGAGCCTTGAAGGAAAGGATGCAGATTTGGACTGAACCCCAACTAGCAGAAGAATTTGCGTGAAAATACCAAAAAAAAGGAGACCTACGGAGCTGCGGTCTGACAGCGAACTGAGTGACCCTGACGATA